GAAAATATCCGTCTGCAAAATTACAGATACTAAATAGATCAATTCAGTCTACACTGAGTTCTTTATAATTTATGAAGAATAGATACAAACCTATAATATTAAAGGCTAAATTAATATTAAACATATAATATCCAGGACTATAAATACATTTCTCATGCTCCTTATAAATAATAGCCATGAAGACTGGAATCTTGTTCTAAAAAGAAGGTAAGAGTGGGCTGGAGGAATTTATGAATTTGGGATGCAATACTGATCAGAGAGCAATATATCGTCCTGGTAACATGGAGTCTTACCAGGAAGTCAAAGATATATTCTGGCAGCAAGATCAAATTAGATCCACAGTTTGCCAGCTCTCTCCTCAAGCCAAAGAAAACAAATAGAAAAAAAAATATATAAAAATCCTCACAAAATTAGTCTTTTATATACAAATCTCTATTGTGACCAGACAATCTGATCAGTATTGTGCAACATGGAGGTGCAAGGCTGAGGTTCCCAGGAAAGGAGTGAGGGAGTTAGACTGACATAAAATCCAGAGGCCAAAGAATGGAGTCTGAGTAAGGAAAGTCATTTTTATGACAGATTTAGCAAGCAGCGTGCCAGCTTGCTAATTAGACATCTCAGAGCATTTGCTCCTTGCGGGGGAGAAATCTCAAAGATGTGTTAGGCCAACTTCCTTGATTCATGTATACATTTCTTTCCTACTATCGGCAGCAGGCCATTTCCAGGCGGGCTGAATGGTTGCTATGAGAAGGTATGGAGCCCCAGAAGGTACGAGGCTCTGACTGCATCACTCCCATGTCTGTGGGGAATGATGACAAGGGTAACAACCAGCTGTTACCCCCCAACACTTCCCCCAGGGACCAGAGAGTCTCCAGAGGAACTGGGATCCCATTGCTACTTGTGCTCTAAGTCAAGTGCTGACTCTGCCAAGCTGGGGGGGCTAGTCCAGCAGGCTTAATTTTCAGCACAAAAGAACTCTGTAGAACAATCAGAAGAATGTGTAAAACTATGAAAATGTTTACTTGGTTCAGAGGTAGGAAGGTGAAGCAAGGCTGACAAAAGAGAAAAAAAACCAATTAAATAATTATGCTGGATATTAGCTAGAGTGAGAGAAACAACTTGGGAGCTTCTCTTCCATTTGAAATGTTCTTAGAGAGGTCTATTAAGAAAAAAAATTGTACTTTATGATTTTGCATTAGGTCTACTGCAACTGATGCAATATTTTAAAAAGCAAAAGTGAACAAACACACAGCTTTACAGCTCACTCCCCAAGACTGAAATCTCTAAGAGGATGGTGCTCCCCACAAACATACACCAAATCTGTTGCATCTTTTAAACAGAAGTTTGGATCAAATAAAGTTTTAACAGAGCAAGAAGAAAATAGTGGCCCACTGAAACAATATAAAAAACCAAAAAAAGTTGTTCAAAGTCCACGACTAGCCCCAGGCACCTTAACAACACACCAGGCATTTTCTCTACCCTAGATATTCCCAAGGCAATAAAAAGAGAGATGATAGCTTCTGTAGGAAAGCACTTTTCCTGTAGAAATTAAAAAAAAGAGCAAGAAGGGGAGAAAGAATATTTCATTTAGGAAAATCATAAGAAGTGATGCCCATCAGAAGAGCAAACCAAGAGGAAAGTCTGAACCTAAAATCCACCAAAGCTGCCTGCACAACTCTTCAGAGCAAGAACTTGGCCTGGCTCCTCCTGTGCACAGTGGTGCATGTCTGCACACAGTCCAAGGAAAGGTATTTACAGCCAGTTGCTGGTATTGTGTAAGTCTTGCAAACAATTTCATAAGAGTGTTCAAGTACATTTGCCAATGGCTCCCAAATTCCCATACTGGGTTTGCAATTAGGACCAGGGAAAACTGTGTGTTGTGGGTATTTGAAGTGGGCTCTATTGCACAGCCTGGATGATTCAATAATTTGAGTCAGGCTCTGGAATTGTCCAGGCCCCTCCCGGTCAATTTCTCATGTGCCAAATTGCTTGTTCTACAAGGGCAGTTGAGTATAGGCAAAGGACCAGTTTGTGAAAGGGTGCCTGCTAATGTCCCCAAACACCAAACTATGGATGACATGGCCAGGTTCCAAGTGGTTGTAAAGCATTAAGTGAAGAGAGAGGTTTGAATATAATTTCCCTCAATGGAGAAGAATCCCAGTTGAGTATTTATTATTGATGGCCCCTTAACTTAAAATATAAATAAGTTATCTTTTATAGTATTGAATAACTAAATAAAGAAGAAATTAAAGAGATCATAGTAACACAGATAATAGGACTGGAAGAAGGCTTTGATCATTAAATCCAACCTCTTCATTTTCTATACATAAAGGAATGAGGGTTGGGTATAAAGTGACTTGTTTTAGCTAAAAATGGGCAGAAGCTTAGTCGAGTGTTTCCTCTACCAAACTTTTATTTCCTCATCATCTCTGTCATTGCCTTAAATATCTATGTTATGTTAAGAAATTAGATAGTATTCATTTAGGAATCTTTGTCATCTATTTTAAAACCAGCTGCGGTAACTTGCATGGTTGTTTACCAAATTGTCTCTTAAGCAGCAATAAAGATATATAGAATAATAAAAAAAAAAGGAGGAGCAAGAAGGGGAAAAAGGATGTTTCATTTAGGAAAATCATAAGCAACTCTTGCTTGAGCAACTTTGAACTCACTCCACCCAAGGAGAACAGTCTGCCTCTAGTATAACTTGCCTGGCTTGGCACTCAGTGGCCCTTTCCTGGGTTTTAGCCAGAAGTTACCACAGATACTGAGACCATTCATCTTCTCTAACAGATCCGCAAAACTCTCACTTCAGAATGACTTCAGTACCTAATATTCCTATTCAAAGAGCAAGTATAAAAATAGCTGAAAAATATCATGTGCTCCTTTTTCTTGATATGAATTCATTTGGAGAATAGGCAAAGTAAAACCAGCACCAACTGAGTGGCTCTGGGGGTTGAAGAGCAGCCACTTCCACTGGGTGTAACTGCAAAGTGCTTTTAGTCATCAAGTCAGCTAAGAGCTGTTGAGACTTGTTTATTGAGAGTCTGAACTATGGAGAATTCTCAGCAAATGCATACCTATTTGGATTTATTGCTATAGTCCTTGAAGGGATATAAAGCACAGATAGAAACCTTGATTCTGACAAGAGTGAAATATGGTAGTGTAAATTTCGCTGTTGAAAACAATGGGGAATGTGGTCTTGTAAAAAATATGGCAGAAATGGGTTTCTTTTCTCGGATCTTGTTGATGAATTATTCACCTCTGAAAGGGCTTCTCCACTAGATGGACTTGCAGATAACATACTTCTCCATGCACATGTGAAAATTATCGAATACATCTTAATCAACTGACTGTTGGTATTCCTGGCATCACCTACCAATTATACATCTCCCTGAAATGACTTTTCCCAAATTTCTCAGCTTCCACCAGTCAAATTTTAGGAACATACAGTCTAACTAGTATTTGAGAGAAGTAGTTGTTTGTCATTTCCCGTACATGTCAATTTCCTCAGGCAGTGATAGGTTGTGTTTTCACATGCAAGGGAAGTAAAGAATTGTATCTGATAGCTACCAGGTCCAGATCTCCTGTTGAGAATCTGTGTGATTTGGATGATTGCCGAGAATTTCTGGTGCTCTTTGAGAGAAGGCACAGCCTCACAGGTCTACAGGAAAGCCTTTCCATGAGACATATATGTCACTGTTCTCACAATTCGAGTAAATTTATTGAGTTGTAGTAGGTAACCAAAGTTTTTCCTAAAATGATTCTGATTCCTAAAAGGGATGAGTGAAACACGATCAAAGTGGCACTGCCAAAGCCCTGATACAAATTGCCATGCATGTATCTGACTTACCTAAACTGTATGAAAATATAGCATTTACTCACCATCAAATAGTAATGGATTGTTTTAAGTATTATCATCTGTATTTGACCTCTTTCTATAAACTATGCATATAATTTATAGGTTATACATATTCTATTTAGGAAAAGAAGGTTGTTAGAGGTATCCTCTGAATCTATTTTTTCTCCTTATGGCACATATGCTGGGCAAAGAAACCCCCAAAGGTCATGGCATGAGAAGAACAAATGAGAACTAAAATACCACAGGGCACTGTAACATGTCAGCTCTGTGCACATCCTGAATTTTCAGATAAATTGAATTAAAATTTTTTTTCATGATGTAATTTATTGACATCCCAGATAAGTGTAATATCCTATAGGTAGTCTCATGAAACTTAGTGTATTCTATTTCAAACTAGAAAATCCTGCTTTATTAAGCCATGGCTCTTGTCTCTTCTCGATACACTATACCCTCATATATTTACAGGTTATCTGGATAACTAGTCAAGAGTTAAAGACAAAGTAAACCTAGAAGATTTGTAGGCAGTCCTGGGAAGAGAAGACGGGGACCATTCCTTCAAGAAACATGATTGCATGTACCAGGGCTACAATGGCTTCTAAAAACAAAGACAAGTTCCTACACACCTTGCCTCAGACCTTCTTCTCATAACTAACAAACAAACAAACAAAAATTAACAGAAAAAAATGCACTTCTGAGCACCATTTAAAGAGAGTTCTTAAAAGCTAAGTCCAGAACTGTCCTCTTGACCTATAACATCTGTCATAAAGAATGCGTTTTCCACTAGTACCCTTCCAAACACTCTCGGTCCCCCTGTTAACTGCTTAAATGATGAAAATGAAGACCAATCTTATTAAGTAAAAGAAAAAAAGAGATTCTTAATACTGCTCAATAGTGATCCTTGTCTAAAATTAACTATGGTTTATGATAAAAGGTGGGGTTACATGTCTCTTATGTGATATAAAGTCGTATGATTAAAAAAGTGGTCAGAAGGAATCAAGGAAGAGGCAATAAAGGGTACATGATGACCATAAACACCCTTTCTCTGAAGAATCTGGACTTTATGACTCATCATGAATCTCCCAGGGTCCATGTTCTGGCCTCAGATAACCACTCTAATCCCAAGTAGACAAGGTCTACATACTCCTTGGAGCCAAATGTGCTTTATTTCTTAGTGATTCATGCTCATGTCCTCAGCAGACTCCCAAGCCCAGCAACTATACAAAAATACTGTGTTATGTGATAGAAAATGATACGAGAGACATTGAAAAATTTAGCTCGCATAATCAATTATTCAGGATTCATCGAGTGTCTATAGCATGCAAGACATTGTGCTAATTCCAAGTACATTATGTATTCTTTCCAACTTTCACAGCCTCGAAAAGACTCCATCTGAGTTGTGAGGAGCCGTCTTTCATTTTCACTTCAGGTTCAAGGTCATCTTGACCTTCCAGTGGTCTTGACTTAGTAATGCCATCTTTCTGGGATTTTGTTCATTTTTCTGTCTTTTTTCAGAGAAGAGCAGGGAGGAAAATTGGCTCTGCTTTCAAATGATTAATGTGCTTTGATAGAATATAACACAAAGTTCTATACAAATTACCAGTTTGTTTTTTGTTTCATCAAGAGATAGTACTAAAAAGGGCAAAGTCAACAAAACTTTCCTCCATGTGTGGAGAATAAAATGATTAGGTTTCCAGATTCAATGATAGTATGTATGAAATAATGAGAAGGCTAAAACAAACTTTTCTGTTAGAAACAAAAATTTTATGAAGCATTGATCAAATAACCTCACTTGATTTCATGATGGCAGGAAAATGCAAACCAAACATCAACCAATTTGAATGGGATGAAAATGTAGGCTGGCTCTGTACCTTTACTTTTCTCAATATATAAAGGGGCATATGCAAATCACTTCTTAAAAAGGATCAAATCAGGAGTCAATTAAAAGCAAACAGAAATTTCAATTATTAATCCCATAAATGTGAGAAGGTGGAGCAGACTTTGTTCCATAATCAGCTCTTTAAGAGGATGCTTCCCACTAAACTCTCTTTGAAAGTTTTTTTTTTTTTAAAGACAAATCGCCAGAGTTCCCTAAGATAGGTGCTTGCTTTTAACAAACACATGGGCAAATACTACAGAATCTTTAAGGGAAAATTATTCTAAAGGCTTCAAGCAGAACCTCTTGTATGCTCCATGGCGAGGCATGGAGAGTGCTTGAAAGAATACATACTCTCCCCAGAGTGCACTGAACGACTTAGGTCGTGTCCTCTGGGAAAAGAGCATCCGAGTTTCTGCATCTTGAGAGAAAAAGGGAAGCTGGCAAGAATGCATCTTCCATTCAAACTGATTTCTCCAGCAGCATCCATTCAAACAGTAATACAAGTGAGAACATTAGATGGTTATGAAGCATTATTTGGCAAAGACACAGCACCGTGCCTATCACTGGCTCACCACAGATCCACTAAGCCTCAGCTAACAGAATAAGTAAACATAGAAATATAGGTATTTTATTTTCCTTTTTTAAAGAAAGCTTGTTTATATCCTCATTTACCATAAGATACGCTGGGGGGGAGTTTATTCAAGATTTTGCTGAGAGTCATATCCTTATTTTTCACGTTTCCAAGGTTCTTCCTCAACACTGCAGTCGGCTGACTTTCCATTGGCTGCCAGAGTTACCTGCAAGTAATTATTATCAGCATCCAGCTCATAAGCCACGAACCAGAAAACCACCCCATGGGTATGTGGAGCAGCACTGGACCTGGGTTACTAGATCCAGTTTAAATATTAGCTCTAAATATGGTTCCTTCCAAACCGATTTTAACCTAGTCTTGCTTTGGACCACTGACTTGTAAACATTAAAACAAATATATATTGCTTTATATGTGGGTAACAAGTGACTAGAGACATTTTCCATTTAGGGAATAACTTCTGCTATGCTTTTAGGGTTGTGGGGTATCTGACTATCCATAGATCCATCACACAATAATGCATTTCTAAAAAAAATACTTCCTTTGTGCTACTCCATACAACCACAGAGAAAAAAAAATTCTAGAACTAGGCAGCTAGTTGTACTCATGCATGTGAAAGGTTCAGTTTCAATAATACCAGAGATTGTATACAAGTCCAATTGTTAAATTAAAAATATCATGGTGGTTTGGCTCTACCAAATAAGCTATCCAAAAATTTAATTGAAAACATTTGAAAAGAAAAGAAAGTTTGAGATCAGTGACAAGGTTCCTCTAAATTATTTCATGCAATTTATGACCAAATATAACCACCAGGCTAACAAATTATGTGTCCATGGCTCTAAGTAAACTGAACCTTTACACAGAACAGGAGGTTTTCCCCTCCACATCTAAGTAATTTTCCTAGCTTACCTTCTATCTGTCTGTCCTCAACGTCATGTGCAAATTTAAACCCACGACTGATATTCCACATAATGGAGAGACTGGATTTATGGAAGCATTAGAATATGGAGACATGACAAATGCAGCAATGTTGAAAATAAATCTGACCTTCTTACCCAGTGGAAGTGAAACCCATGCACTATGAACAAACACAACATGCTAGGAATGGAAAACCAAGTGTCCTTCACAAACCAATCAAATAAAAATAGAACCCACACATTCATTCCCCACATCTCCATTGGCCCCCACACAGTTTCCCAATGACCATGCAGCAAGCAATGACCATATCCACATGCAGTTACTTTGATTAAAATTCAAAAGCTATCGAATAACTTCAAACTACTGTTACAAGGCAAGAGTCTGAAAATAAAGTCCAAGGTGACAAAGCGATGCTTGTAGTGGTGAAAGTTTTGACCAGAGTTGCAGCAAATTTGTTTCCCCTTCAGTGAACTGTCAGCAAAGATCAGGGCCACATTGTTTGCCTGAAGAAAGCCACTAAAGACTGCCCTTCAGTGTGTCTATTTGGCTTTCAGAGATGACCTAGATCAACAGCAGCAAAAAGTTATAAATCATGGTAGGGTGCCTTTAGAAAACTAGATGGCATTGGTGGCATGTTTTTGTTTGCTCACTTGCTTTTGTTTATTGAAAGCCTGGGATCAGTGTTTCACAAGTAACTAGGATAGCAGCATTTTGTTTTTGCTTTTGCTCTGCATTTTCTTTTTCAAGCTGGGTCAAAAGTAGTTGAGACTCTATTCTCTAATCCATTACCCTACTACTCTCTGCCCCCAGACCTTGGTAAGATAAAAGTAGGAAGGGGGTCCCAGTATCCCTCTCATGATCATTGTACAGTTGAAACCCAAGCACAAAAATTTGTAAATCTACAACTGTACCTCATGGTGTTTCACTAGCAATAATTAAAAAAAAATGCAAATGATGGAGAATGGGCACTGGTGGGGGAATGGGTATGGATTATTGTATAACTGAAACCCAAGCACAAAAATTTGTAAGTCTACAACTGTACCTCATGGTGTTTCACTAATAAAAATTTTTCAAAAAGTAGGAAGGGGAAGGTACCGGACAGTAAGCATTGATGTCCCCCACTTCAGTTTTGAAGAGTGAGATTGAAATGGACCAAAAAGTTGTTTAAATGCAAGCGCAAGCAGACTCAGATATATTGGAAAATATGTAAATTCCTCTCTATAGCCCTGATGGTCTCCTCATGCATCTGAGTCAACTCAGTTAATTGTTTAGTTTGTCTCTCTAGCAAAGGTTGAGGACAAACTGTTTTTCACTGAGCTGAACCCAATCGCTTCTTTGAAAAACACAAACAGTTCAAATCATTCTTAAACTAATATGGCCATTTCATTATTTCCAAGCCTTGGTCAGTTGGACCATTTGGCCATCTAAATGTTAATTCACTGAGTTTGGAGGTGGTTGGATGGGAGTGAGACATTATCTATGGAAATGTCTAGCATGAAATTCTCTGAAACAAAGCGTAGGGTCTACATAGTCAAAAGAGAGCATCTTGAAAAGGAGTGAAATATTTAATGAACATTCTCAGAGCATCGACTAAAAAAAAATCCAGGAAGTCTTAACTCGGCCATATTCTCCAATATCAAGAACTCTGTTGAGAAACTCCAATATAACTACACTGTATAGTCAATGAGTCACTACACTTCTTTCTGTAAAAAATCATGAGATCTAAAAATATATATGGGATTTTACTTTATTTTGTACTACTATTTTCCTGGTATGGTAGTCATTTGGATTCAAATTGTCTTTACTACAAAATTATACATTTTTCTTGCTGTCCCCAGAACCAAATTTAGGACTTTATACATAATGGGAATCAATAAAATTCTGATGAATGACCAAAACATAAGGAGCCATAGGAACACTTAACTAAATCCTACAAGGCACACAATAAATGCTAATAAAATAAACATAAAGCCAATTTGTGGAAATGTTGACACTTGTTGATTCACTTATATTTTTATGGGGTATGACTAACATTTCGATAGCACATTCATGCAGATTTATAGGTCACATGAACTTTCTGGGAGAAAGGAATTCACTCTTTAGGTACACCTAAATTTTTAATAACTTGTATCAATTCTAAGAAGAGTTAAATAATTAACATACAAGTGACTGTGGATAGGCAGGGTCCCTCTTTGATTTATATCAAAGTCCTAGTTACCACACATGTAGATAGAGATGGGATAAACAAGAGATTATAATTGGTCCATGAGAATGCTAAACCTATATTCCGGTCTAGTAGTAAAATTTTTCTGATTCATCCTTAGTTGCCTGGCAGAAACCATGGTAACAAGGAAAGAAATGAAATGAAATATTAAATGAGGTATTGTCAACACAAATCAAAAAGGTATTAAATATATTAATTAAGTTGTATTATTTCTCCATTGCTGCCTGGGACCATTCTAGGAACCCAACCACTAGAGCTAATTCTGCTCACCTGCCAGGGTTTCTTCAAGTTTGCTTCACTCTGGTCATGATACTCTGTCTTTGACAATGTCAGATTAGTTACAATGGGGGCTAGACAGAACCAAATAAGCTTGAAAATTAGCACCCAATAGCTAGCTTGGAAGAGTCCAGAACATCCATGCTTCAGGAAAGATGGCACTGTTGGGCAGTGTGTGAGATGCAGTGCTTCAAAATAACAAATTTATGAAAAATTTTCCCAAAGGATAATTACTTGAATGGCTTTCCATTTTGGAGTAAAGTGATTGCCAAGTCAAAAGTTACTCTTTACCACAAAATATTTAAGAAAAATAGAGCTGTGCAAAGTTACAGGAATACTTTTTAAAAACCAATATGTGATATACAGCAAGAAAGAATACTTGTGCTATGAGTTAAATGGTTGAGTATTTATCTTGGTATTTAGCTAGAAGAATGGGAAATTTAAAATCCAGTAAACTATAGAAACTACAAAGTCTTCGGCAAAATATTCAAGAAAACCAATCAAATTAGTGAAGTGGGTGAATTAGGGAATAAGAATGACTGATTTACATCACAGGGGTGAATTTATTGCCTCCTTTATTGTTAGGTATGTTGATTTTATGTCATGTTAGATAGTTAGATGTCTAGGACTCATAAAAGCTTGGGTTACATGATTCCTTAGAAAAAATTAATGTGGCAATAATACATGCAGGACTTTTGAATTAAGAGATGAGCATGCACTATTATATACAGGTCTCAATATCCATGAATGAGTAAGGTACCTTGCACTCATCTACAATGACAGAGTTGTGTGCTGCATAGACACATTGGTTAGAGTTGCTTTCCCTGTGGTTCTTCATGTCATCATAAATGGATTGAGTCTTGGTCATTTCAATGTCTTCATGCACTCGGTGCTGGGAATCAATGGAATCAAGCTCAGACTTGGAGAGGTGGTAGACAATCCCAGCCCCAAAGGAGTCACCCACAACATTGACGGAAGTTCTCATCCTGTCCCTGAGAAACAAGAACAGAAAAAGCAGAGTGAACAGTATAACATGGTGGTGAAGTTCTAGAACCAGAAAGATGCTGGGGTGGGGTTCTACCTCTACCGTTTTCCTCCATCTGATGTTACTGAGGCAAGTTACTAAATGTTAGGAGCCTTGATTTCTTTGTCAATTGAAGAGAAAAGCCATACTTTTCATGAGGTTGTATGAAAATTAAATGATATCATATGTAAAGTTCTTAGAAAAAGTACTGTTTTGCTGTAAGAACTCAAGAAACAGTGCAAACATAACAGAGGAGGAGTAAAGGAAGACTGAGAGGCAATAAATGTGTCTGAATTAGTAACCAGACTCCAGACATTCTTAGTGTGTCCAGCAATTCCTTCTGATTCAAAGTGTTCCCTGAAGACTCCCTTTAGTTTATTATTAATTTTATAGGAAAGAGTAAGCACTTGTGAATTTTCACATTATATAAAATTCATCTTTCTGTGCAGATCACAACTATCCCTCTTGCCCCCATTGCAGTCCATCAATATTTATACGTATAATGTTGTACAGACACAACTTCTGTATAACACATACATATTTACAACAGCTGTGCCTAGCATAGCTGTTGGGTAAAAGACCCCACCCAAATTTCATTTTGTCCAAAATGTATAGTAACTGCGTGTTCCAGAAAGAACAAAATACTTTATTTCACCCTCTTGCTTAACTTAAAAATTAAATCTTTCAGAGTGCCACTTAACTAGGAAGGGTTGTGGAGACAGACAGTACAGTGGGTAGAGTGCTTGCTTGTATATGGACACTTCATACAGTCCCCAACCTCCATCACAAATGATCCTTGAACCAGGAACAAGCCTTAACTACAGCTGTGGTGGCCTCCCAAACAAACCAAAATATTGGAAAAAGTCATTTTTAAAAATTGTGTTTCTCAAGTGCTGATTTGGAAAAATGGGTTATAACAAGGAAAGCATGGTTATGATTAGATTAGGAAAAAGCATGGATGGAAAAGGCATAGAGCTTTGAATTTCTCCTTATTTGTTTAATGACCCTGATCATACTTAAAATTTGTGAGTCTTAATTGCTTATCTGTGATATTGAAATAATAAGAAATAATAAGAATTCCTATTACAGATGGGCTGTTGTGAAAATTAAATAAGAATCACAAAGTATATCATACAAGCATCTAATGAGAACTGAGAAAATATTATATGACAGGTATTTCTAATTATCTTGTAAAATAAATTAAAATATCTTTTTTGAAAGTTCTTAAAGAGACCATTTGATCTTATCTAATTAAACTACTATATCCCCTGAAAACATTGACCCTATGTGTATGAGATTACCATTAATGTTCAACTCAACTATCTGTTCCCCATACAGTTGGTTCTTTTTTTGTTGTTGTTGGCCTTTGAAGTTTTTCCACTACGCATTCAGTTTCTCCTGGCCTGTATCTTAAGTCATCCCCTTAACACCAGTGACCAGTTGTTAAATTCTAGAGTGCGAAAATGTCTCCAAGGCAAATGCTTTGAGTGTACATTGAACGCCTGGCCCAAAACAGTCTTCCACCTGGTCAAGAGAGTAACCAATACCCTGAGTGACTAGACAGTTTCCACAATACCAGGCCTGCACTGACTCCTTTATTTATGACATGGGTAATGAATCATTTACTAATGGATACAAAGAGGAAGCTGGTGTATTCTAGGAGGCCTGGGTTCCCTGAGTAGTTTCCACAGATCATACCAGAAGAGTATATGAGAAGCAAAGAATAAGACTCTTGGGATTCTCTGACTCCTCTGCTCCCCTACCATCAACACACATTCTCATTGCTTTCCTATCTTCTAAATGAGAGCAGAAAATGTTGTCGGAATAAATGTCGGGTGCTATTAAGTTTTTTAGATAGGATACAATCCAATCTCCCATAAGCCTCCCATAAGTCCTCCATAAAAGTCCCATGTGTCTCCCATAAGAGGCTTGAATAGCAATATCTCCAGTTAGGCTCTAAGCATGAACATGAACTCCTGAGCTAGAGAAAAGAGAAAGAATACCTGCAAGTCCAAGAGGTGGGAGCACTTCATGTATATTCAGGTTGGCTAATGAGTACAGTGAGAGGCAGGAAAGGAAAATTGTTCAAATCATGTACAGCATTGTCAGTCAAGTTCAGAAATCAGTATTTTATCCCAAACATAACAGTAGATCATTTGAAACGAAAGATCACCCTTGTTCTATGTCAATCGTGACAAGATTGAAGAACAGGGTTGAAGATAGTACCGCAGGCACTTAGTCTTGCATGCAAGAGTTTGAGTGAAGCATTTTACATAAATTTGTAATAGACAATGCCTGTTATTGTCAAGAGTTGAGAGAAAGAACAGGAAAAATAGTTTCTCTTCGTTTTTAGTAACCAAGAAGTCATTACAGGCCTGGCAAGGATAGTTTCAACACAGACAGCAGAGAGGAGCCAACTCATAACAAGTAGAAAATTGAATGAGAGATGAGAAAGGGGAGACCTTGTGGATCTTACCCACTGACTAAGAAGCTGAAGAGAGAAAGAGAGTGGTACATGGAGAAAAGAGAAGATAGAAAACTTTTTGTTCATTTTTGAAGCCACTGTGAGAATATCTGACCAACTTGAGGTAAGCCTAATTCTGACCAAAAGCAGCATGTGGGGGTTAATGGTTCACATATGGAAAATTTTGCCACAGGAAAATACTTTCATGGTCTGTCACAATCAGTCCTGAGTGTTCACAAAACTCAGGGAGGTTTCAACTCTGTGGCGAAAAGGATTTTAGAGTACTTGCTGCTATCCTTTGTCTTGATGTAGTGTGTCAGTACTGAAAAAGTAGAGAAAATATTTCACTAAATAGATTCCCACAGAGAACATTGGAGCCACCAGAAAGCAAAAGGGGAGAAGGGATTCACTGATATCTCACAGTTTGGCCATTTGGTCAGTTTGGCCATTCCTAAAGCGCTCTCTCTCTCTCTCTCTCTCTCTCTCTCTCTCTCTCTCTCTCTCTCTCTCTCTCTCTCTCTCTCTCTCTCCTCTCTCACCCACTAAATCCTCTGGCAGGAAAACAGTATGATTGTCTAAAAATTCTGGTCCACACAGAAAAACAGGCAGATTCACTGAAAATTCATCACTTTGAATGGGGTTGAGTCATATGAAATTGTCTTTTTTTTATGTGTAAAAATGTCAAATATTGGTAATTTCACAAAATTCAGCTTAACATTCATAAAACAAGCCATGATGTCTGACTCTCAGAATACAGGGTGATCAGTGTGATAGACCCCCCTCTCCCCTGATCAAAGCCCCTCAACTTGTGAAAGCTGACATGATCCTGGGCATCTGGGAAAGAAAGTCAAATGATTAGAAAAGACAGGAGGCTTAAGGAAGCCCCAGTTAAGAGTATGAACCTTGGAGCATGACTAGAAGACAAACCTAACTCTAGCAGAGAAAGTTCCTAAAAGTTCTACTGTGCTTCTCATTGGTAAAAAATTAAAGTGATGCCATCTCCAAGCAGGCAGAGAACTGTTCGCATGTACCAAGTACTTGTCATCTGAAAGGTCATTGAACCAATTCTATCCCATAATCAATGTAACATGATACCTGACACAAACAATGTTCAGCTATTATCTCTATGTTTATCATGATTATGAACGCAAATGAGATGGAACACAAATCACTGGCGCTCACCAGTTTATTCCTTCTTCATGTCTTACACATTTACTTTTTTATACTCTTGACATCTTTCCAGGACATCTGTACCTATTATGTTGCTAAAAGACCTCTAGGGCTGAGACCATGTTTTAGCCATTTATGATAGAGGTAGGAAAGAGGATAGAGGCAAGATGGGTTGTTACTTTAAGAAGTGGCAGCAGAACCAACAGCTCTGGCTCAGAGACACAGCAGTGAGTCCCAGAAGACACCACCAGCACCAGAGATCTCTCTGGGCCCCATACTAGGCCAATTTTATCAGGGCACCCCAAATAAAGCAGGTGCAGTAGGTGGGGACCTACTCCAGATGGAATCCTGGTGACCAAGAGCTTCCACAATCTAGATCCAGGTTTGCGGGTTCCAGGACTGAATCTCCAGGCCACATGGTAGCAGAGGACCTCGGCTGTCCCTTCCGGGGTCCCCATCTGCCCAGAAGACTGGCTGTCACACCCATAATTTGCCTCTTGGCACCATCTTAGCGCACCAACAGCCCTGGCCCAAAGACTTCCACTTGAATCCCAAGATGATTTTCTGCCATACAGAGATGTCTCTGGAACCCAACCATTTACAATCTAGAAATTTACATTTATAATTGCAGCCATGTGAGCTCTCATGATATTCAAATTGAGCAATGGAAAATAAATTATATAGCATCTGCCCCTGGCAGGCAGGCTTGAACGGTGGTGGGAAATTTCAAGCGAAACATAATGCCCAAAATGAGAGAGAGAGTATTGCGGAAATTGTCTGCCATAGAGGCAGGGTGAGGACTGGGATGTGGGTGGTGGAGAATGTGCAATGATGGAGGGATGGATGCTTCATTATTGTATGACTGAGTCTCAAACATGAAAGCTTTGTAACTCTACCTCACGATGATACAATTTAAAAAAAAAAAGTAATGTGGAGTTCATGCCCAATTCAATCAGCTTAATCAATGGCTGAACAAATAGCAGAACTCCTACATTATTAAAAAGAAAAAAAAAGAGGTAGCAGCTAATGATTTCTGAAAGAGAAGCTGTCTTTTGTTTAGCAAACATCTAGCTGGATAAATATTTAAAAGACAGGGAAAGGTCTAGAAGAAAAAGATGAAGACACAGAGAGTCCAAGGACTATGAAAATGAGAAAGGTCTCAGGAGATGGGGAAAATCACAGGGAGGGAAAGCTGGAAGACCCCATTAAATAGCAAGAGAATGGAGCTCAGGGAGAGAACAGGGCAGGGAGATTCCAAGAGTGAAAAAACAATGCAGATGCTTGGATCCTCTTTGTCCTAAGGGGTGCCAAATAACAAATGTTTACTTTCTTTG